GTATTTTTACAGTCTTTATTTTACAGTTAAAATATATGTTTATTAAATAAAGTGCAATGTTACAACTAATCATGGATCCCTTTGAGCACATATTGAGTTAACTGCAATGATATGACAGCTTTAATTAAGTTACAAAATGTTATTTTTGCATTTAAAATATAAAAGGCTCATAAAACARGATTATAGTTTGCAATTAGTCAGATCAAACGCATGCTATGCAGTGAAGTTTTACATACAATAAACTCAGTTTTTGTGCAGATTTGTGTTGTGTGTAAAATTATACAACACTACTGTGTAAAACAATTGAAAATATTTTAATATTCCTGTCAGTGGCAGCTTTAAAACCCATTAAGTATGAAGTCAAACAAAACATTTTTCTGAACTCTTTTAGTTTACTAGATATGTAATTCTGATAAGCGGTACYTACTCAGTGTTAACAAAGCACTRAGCTGAATGTGAAAAAAATAAAATAAAACATATGGAAACCTGAGTCACATGTTTGACCTGCATTAATTGGGCTGTGTAGGTAAACAAGGTGGAATCAGACAAATTWAAAATTTCAGAGAAGATATTTTGGTGAAAGTACATGTTAGGTACTGTGTTACTTGCAAGTTAATCTGCATTAGRTTTAATAGCTAACATAAACTATCTATAGCTAACATATTAGCTATATGTTTTTTATGATTCTTAATCCTTAGTATCTTAATTTGCTAACATAAGCTACCTATAGCTAACACATTCTAGCCTTTTTTGTTAGCTAACCCTTATTAGTTATTTTTGCAAAGGTAACTATAGCTAACACATATTATTAGTAATGTTTTTAACTATATTCACAAACATGTTAATCATGTTAAGCAAGTCTTTATAAGCCATATTTGCTAACATATGCTTACTGTAGCAAAGCTATCATAATATGATACATACATGAAATGTACAGTAACTGTACATAAAATAACATATGCTAACTGTACATAAAATGTACAGTAACTGTACATAAAATAAATACAGTAACTGTACATAAAATAACTGCTAACTGTACATAAAATACATAGCTAATATATTAGCTATGTATTTTATGTTGGTTAATCCTTTTTAGTTATAATATCAGCCAACATATACTATCTGTACTCTACACTTATAAGTTATTTATATGTTCTTATGTTTTTCTTAGCTACTTGGATCTGTGCTTTTAACAAAAAATACATGTATTTTTTTCAACATTACAGCATAAAACGATAAAATTCTATAGCTAAAATGTGCTAGAAACAGTCGTAAACGCTATACAAGTGAAAAATAATAATAGGCAGCTAATCTTCTGAAGTCATGTTGAGAAAGATTAATAGATGATTTTTTTTATTTCACTTCATAATTCAGCAAATGAAGTGTTTGGTCCGAATCAAAGTCTGTGACAGTAAGTTGTTTTTGTTTTTTGTTTTTTTCTGAACAGATTCGGGAGCTGGTTCCAGAATCTCAGGCCTACATGGATCTACTGGCTTTCGAGCGCAAATTGGACCAGACCATCATGCGTAAACGCGTGGACATTCAGGAAGCACTGAAGAGACCGATGAAGGTATTAAAAATGTTTTGAATTTTCACCAATCCTTTAAGATTGATTAGTATTCTTTTGTTAAATTGGGCTGTTTCCTGRGCTCTTTGTGTCAGCAGCAAAAGCGTAAACTGAGGCTTTATATTTCCAACACTTTCAACCCGGCTCGACCTGATGCCGATGACTCAGATGGCAGCATTGCCTCATGGGAGCTGAGAGTGGAGGGGAAACTTCTGGATGACGTGAGTTTTGTTTGACGTATTCATGTTTGTTTTTTTTTTCTCTAATACTCTCAAACTATGTTGTAAAGATATTGTAATAAATATAAATTGAGTTAATTTGATTTAGAGTCTCTGCTGTGTGTGGAGCCATGTGTCTGACAGATTTATTTCTCTTAAATCCTTTAAAATCTGAGACTCAGATTCTTCTGTTTAGTATGACAGAGTGATGTTTTTATGGTAAAATGATGTAAAAAGTACTTTGTACTGCAATTAATGCTCCAAGTTTTAATGAATAAATAATGGTGAAAGTGTTTAGTGATGAAAGTCAAAATGATTTGTTTTTGGGCCTCAAGCTCTGATGTTTTCATCAGTGGAAAGCTTTAAGACTTCAGAAACCAAAAATATTTTAGGCTAAGCTCACAGGAAGTGGACCCTGAGAATGTCCGCTGTCATATTTTTGTTCTGATCTCAATCGACTCCTTGTGGTTTCTCACAAGTTGTGGTGCTAAAAGAAAATATTTGTGATGTGCATGTTTATGAATCTGCCTTTGACGAGTTTATTGGTGATTTTGCTCATGACTTTCTGATGTGGAAACAATAAATGTGTGCTGAGCTCCCTTTATCTGTGTGTTCAACAGCCTGGGAAGCAGAAAAAGAAGTTTTCTTCATTTTTTAAGAGCCTGGTGATCGAGCTGGACAAAGAGCTGTACGGTCCTGACAACCACCTGGTCGAGGTCAGCACTAACAAGATCTCTGCGCAAACAAACAAACAAACTGTTGGTCAGTGCAGATCATCTGAAATGACTGAGTTTTTTTAGATCAAATAAAGAAAAAAGAAAATGCAGGAATCCTCACTTGTTGCAGAAAGACAGAAGAAAAAATCTGTAACAAGAAAATTTTAATTTTTTGTGTGAAAAAAAAAACAGTGTGCCTGCTGATTGTTGGGTGAGTTTGATTAAATTGCTTAAAGAAGCTGAAACTGAAGTTTTTAAAAGTAAAAGCAAAACAGTAGGTGAAAACTAAAACAACCAAAATATTATCTAAAAGCTCAAAGTAGCTAAAGGCTGACTAAAACTAAAAGTAACAGAAAAATAGCTTAGAGCTAAAAGTAGCATAAGGCTTGTAAAATGCTAAAGTAGCAAAACAAAGGGCAAAAACTAAAAGCAGAAAAAGCCTAGCTAAAAGCTCAAAATAGCAAAAGGTTGGCTAAAACTAAAAGAAGCAAATAGCTGAAAGCTAAAAGTAGAATAAGGCTACCTAAAAGCTAAAATAGCAAATCACAAGCAAAAGACAAAAGTAGCATTAAGCTAGCTAAAAGCTAAAATAGCAATGCACAAACCAAAAACTAAAAGTATTAAAAGACTAGCTAAAAACTATAAGTAGCAAAACACAAGCTAAAAGTTCATAGTAGCAAAAGCTGACTAAAACTCAAAGTAGCAGAAAACTAGCTCAGAGCTAAAAGTAGCATAAGGCTAGCTAAATTCTAAAGTAGCAAAACAAAGGACAAAAACTAAAAGCAGATAAAGACTAGCTAAAAGCTCAAAGTAGCAAAAGGCTGGCAAAAAATACCTAAGAGCTAAAAATAGCAAAAAACTAGTAAAACACTAGCTGAAAAAATAAAGTTGTATAATACAAGCTAAAGCTTAAAATAGAAAAAGGCTAGCTAAAAGCTCAAAGTACCAAAATATTGACTAAAACTGTAAATAGCAAATAACTCAGAAAAGGCAAAATATTTGCATAAAGCTAGTTAAAAGGTAAAAATAGCAAAAAAAACTAAAGAGCTAGGAGTAGCAGAAAGCTAGCTAAAAGCTAACGGTATGAAAACACTAGCTAGAAGCAATAAGTTTACATGGTTCAGCTCATTCCAAACCAATGTTTCTGTGAGCAACAGTTTTGTGAATAAAGTTTATCGTTTCGTAAAGTGGAAAAACCACAACAACCAAAAGTCAGAGCACATATCTCCTGAGTGAGTTGAACCTTCTGTTACATGAATGACTAAAACATCAGTGTGTTTGCAGAGGTAGTTAGACTAGCAAAAAATGTTTGGAAAAAACAGGAAAGTGTTGGTGTGAACGCTGAATCAGCATTTAAATGATGAAATGCACAGATTCACCTTGAAAGAACTTGTTTTTTGATCAAATACTCAACCTTGTTGTGTTGAAAGGTGACTCAAAAAAGTGCACGCAGTGCTTTGTGATGAAGAAGCGCAATAAAAAAAATAAATTGCACAGCTCCTCATTAACATTTTACAATTCTTAACTTCCGTCTGTGTCCTTGCACTCTGTGCAGTCAAGCAGGGTCTTTTATGTCTCTGCTGTTTGTTCCCTGTTTGTTTGCTATAAATCGGCAAGAGCAAGAAACCAGAGGCAAAAATGTTCACTCTGTCTGATTGCACTTTAAGAAAAGAAACAACTCGAGCAGGCAGAATTGATCTAATCTGTGCTGTTCAGCTGAAACTCAACATTTTTCTGAGCAGGAAAAGCTCTTCAGCAGTAAAACTAACGTCTGCACTCCTTTAAAGTGAGGTCCTGATATCTCACATTACAACACCGACACTAATAATATGATTTACACCTCGACTTTTCTCTGCAAAAGCAAATCGAACGAAAGAAGAAACTATTTTAATTCAAATAAGTCGCTTTTTAGTCAAAAGWTGACTTGGAAAACTGATGCAGCCCTCATGCCTGTCCTAGAAATGTGAAAAAACAGGGTAGTGGTGGTCAGTCTAGCACCGCAAGGCTGAGCGTCAAGGAAGTCGAGAAATAGTGTAGAATATAACACCCTCTGAAAACCACAGCTTATTATTGTTTTCACTTCAGTTATTGTAAGTGTGAAACAAAGAACATCTGGCTGGACGTCTAGAAGAAGACACTTTGCTGCTAATGTAAGTAAAGTGAAAAGACTTGAAGTAGCAAGTAACTTAAAGAGCTTATTTAGAGTGTGTTCACCAGCATAACTGGAGAAACACGTTTTATTAACTTATTAAACTGCACTACGAGATGATAATTAAAAGCCTGATATTGTTTGAAGGAATACATATCATCCTCACTTTAGTTTTAAGATTATCGTCTGCAAGATTTCCAAGTAGGAGCCTTTTCAGTCATTAAGTGGGAGGTTCTTTTGTGTGGGCGGAGCTTGGGAGAACGGTGATTGGTTGGATTGACTTGTGGGGCAAGTTAAAAGATGYAATAATGTAATAGTAAAATTTTTGGGACATATAAAAATAATTTATTGTCTATTTACAGTTTAAAACTACAGAGCCCGCAAGGAGACATGGGAGATTTTTTTTTCTTTTGGGTTCCCAAGCAATAGTATTGCATTCACTCGCAAAAGTCATTTATCACTGTTGTGCCTGCCGGTTTATTAACAAATTCACATGCTCATCATTAGCGAGTCAGCCTACTACTTTAATTCAGCTTTGGCATGAATATATCACACAGCCATGTGTGGGAGTATATACGGTAATATGCCGATATTTTAACACAGTGCAGCCATGCAACATCAATGTCAATTTCACAAACTTGTGGCGACACATCCTGTTTGGTAACTGGGTATTTCAAAATAAAAGTCTGATTTGGAACGAAAAACAATGTTGTGAGGGAATGCAAACGTTTGTAAGGTAACGCAAAAAGTTTTGCAAGGTAAGGCAATAGTGTTGCGAGATAACGTAATAGTATTGCGAGGTAGCGTAATAGTATTGCGAGGTAGCGTAATAGTATTCCGAGGTAACGTAATAGTATTGCGAGATAACGTAATAGTATTGCGAGGTAGCGTAATAGTATTGCGAGGTAACATAATAGTATTGTGAGGTCACGTAATAGTTTTGCGAGGTAACATAATAGAATTGCGAGGTAAAGTAATAGTATTGCGAGGCAACGTAATAGTACTGCGAAGTAACGTAATAGTATTGCGAGGTAACGTAATAGTATTGCGAGGCAACATAATAGTATTGCGAGGTAGCGTAATAGTATTGTGAGGTAGCGTAATAGTATTGCGAGGTAGCGTAAAAGTATTCCGAGGTAACGTAATAGTATTGCGAGATAACGTAATAGTATTGCGAGGCAACGTAATAGTATTGCGAGGCAACATAATAGTATTGCGAAGTAACGTAATAGTATTGCGAGGTAACGTAATAGTATTGCGAGGTACCGTAATAGTATTGCGAGGTAACGTAATAGTATTGCGAGGCAATGTAATAGTTTTGCGAGGTAGCGTAATAGTATTGCGAGGTAGCGTAATAGTATTGCGAGGTAGCGTAATAGTATTCCGAGATAACGTAATAGTATTGCGAGGTAGCGTAATTGTATTGCGAGGTAACATAATAGTATTGCGAGTTAACGTAATAGTTTTGCGAGGTAACATAATAGAATTGCGAAGTAACGTAATAGAATTGTGAGGTAACGTAATAGTATTGCGAGGTAACGTAATAGTATTGGGAGGTAACGTAATAGTATTGGGAGGTAACGTAATAGTATTGCGAGGTAGCGTAATAGTATTGCGAGGTAGCGTAATAGTATTGCGAGGTAGCGTAATAGTATTGCGAGGTAGCGTAATAGTTTTGCGAGGTAACATAATAGAATTGCAAAGTAACGTAGTAGTATTGCGAGGTAACGTAATACTATTGCGAGGTACCGTAATTGTATTGCGAGGTAACGTAATAGTATTGCGAGGTAGCGTAATAGTATTGCGAGGTAACGTAATAGTATTGCGAGGTACCGTAATAGTATTGCGAGGTAACGTAATAGTATTGAGTGGGAACGCAAAAGAAAAAAATCCCCCCATGACCCCTCACGGGCTCCGTTAGGGTTAGGGATAGCGTGGACATGTAAATTTAAATTAATGACTTCAAATTTCATGCAGGTAGCACCTTCATGTCTCGAGTTATGACTATTATTCATATTTAAAGTTAGTTATGTTTTTAGATATGCTTTCTGGTCGATTTGAACTACGGTAGAAGAATTGTTACACATCTCCTCAGTTGCCCGGCATTCATCTCTAATTGCTTCTTTAAACCCCACTCAAAATAATCCATCCGACCAATCAGGATTTTCAGAAACTCCGCCCAGATATCAGGAACCTCCACTTAGTAACTGCAAAGACTTCCTTCTTGCGATTTCGCTCAACATCTCGTGCTTAGAGTTTGGTTTTAGTGTTTTTAATTGTTTTCTTGTGTTTTTATGTTTTGCTTTTATATATGTACAGCACTTTGTTGCAGCTGTGGTTGTCTTTAAAGGGCTTTATAAATAAAGTTGAGTTGAATTGAGTTGAGTTGAGTTTGTGTTTAGGATGACTCGGAGCTACTACCACACCACGTTTTAGTTCAGCTTCCAGATAATAACCGAACTTTAGCCATTTTTGTGTTTGCTAAGGTCGATTAGTTGTGGCGGCAATCTTGAAGTGGGTTGCGTTCTCAGAGTTTCATTCAAATTTGTCCACTGGTTTGTGAGATATTTTGCTAACAGATAAATAATCTTGCTTTGTCCTTACGCAGAAGCATATTTTAGAAAATAATTTTGAAATTTGAGCCAAATTCTCCATGTTTTCTGAAAAACAATCAGCTAAAATGTCAAGCTGTTCCTCCAATAAATTGCATTTGGCTTCACTGCCAGTTCGCCTCGTTTAGTCCAAATTCAAAATCAAACAGCGTGCTTCCTGAACGGTTTTGTCCATTACTAATAAAAAGCTTTTCTCTGCTGCGTTAATCACTAAATTGGACTTTCCAGCCATATAGTCAAGGTCAACGACGGTGCGTTTCTGTAAAAAGCCCCGTTTTGTCATGTCTGGCTAAATCTTAAGGAACAATGATCGGGTCTCTCCCACCCCTCGCCGTGTCCTCGCTGGTTAAACGTTAAATGAAACGGACCGAGCGAGCCTTTTTTTTTTATTACCTTTTTTTTTTTTCAGCGCACAAGGTTGTCTAAACATGCACGTGGAGAAAAACGCCTGCGTTCCCATTCTAAACAACCGGCAGCTGCCCTTCACTTTGTGTCTCCACAGAAATGTTCTGACGTTTGAAGAAAGAAAGAAAGAAAGAAAGAAAGAAAGAAAGAAAGAAAGAAAGAAAGAAAGAAAGAAAGAAAGAAAGAAAGAAAGAAAGAAAGAAAGNAAGAAAGAAAGAAAGAAAGAAAGAAAGAAAGAAAGAAAGAAAGAAAGAAAGAGAAAAATCCACTTCAGGAGATTCACAGTGAAAATTACAGCCTCTCAAGGTCCCTCTTTTTTGAGAGTATTTTAACCCCAGGTGCTTATCTTTTGAACACTTTTCAATCAGAAGAATTCGTTTTCTACCTTGAGGTGTATTCAGTGTTTAATCTGCTCGGAGCGAGTCAGGAGGCAGAGAGGCTGTGCTGCTCACCGACTCACTGTTCTTTTGTTGCTGACGGAGAAAATAAAGATGTAAAATAACATCTGCACCTTAATGACGAGGAGAGGAGTTCAGACCGAGTCTTCTGGAAACCCAGCTTTAGTTGTTTTTTGTTTGTTTTTACAACCAACTTGTTCAGAGTCACTGGACYACATAATGAAGATTAAACAAAGACTTGATGTGATTAATACTCTATTATGACTCTCAGATACTACCACGTCGAATTTTACCTCAATATATGTCATATTAACTGATTTGTCGCAATTTTTTTTGTTAAAAATGTCATTTACAGACAGCCAACAGTAATTTTTTTTCTATTTTTTACTCTAATTCTCCTTTGTTTGTGTCTTCCATTGACATTTAGCCGTTTCATCAAACTTGCTACTTTTTATTCTTCTCCTTTTTTTCTAATCAAACAAACGAGTCAAGATGGTGCAGAAAGTTAAATGTAAAAAATCCTTTTTGAACAGCCAGATTTTCTTTATTATCCTCAGCTGAGCTGTTAAAAACGATAGATTAGATGAAACAGCATTACTAACAGACTAAAATCGCAGAAATTTAGATTAAAAATACAAAAAGAAGAAACTTAACAGCAAATTCCAAACAGAAATACTTTTTTCTGCTGACTTTTCTAACAGAGAAAATTAGAATAAGCTGATAAATCAGGTACTGATTATATGTTGAACCAAAGTGATGAAAAACTTAAAACTGATGAGGATGAAAAGGAAAAACTTCATAAAAAAAAGAAGAAAAAAAAGGTTTGTTTCAAATTTCATCGCACTCTAATTTTGCACCCAGACCTGGAAAATTTAACCACGATTTATGATTTGGTTGTTATAAAACCCGAGTTGTTATTGAGCTATTTCAGTCTTTGCTGACGAGGAAAGACTGATGCTTTTTTCGGGTTCTGTGTAACATTTAGTGGATTTATGGAAAATATGAAGGTTGACTCACAACTTTTCTGCCTTTAGAGAGTTTCATTTTACCACTTCCTGCTGGGTGGGGGGGGGGGGGGTCGTGTTTAGCTTATTATGTCATGTGACGGGGAAGAAGACAAAATGTGGTCAAATCTTTTAGAGAAAGAGTAGATTCTAGCACTAGTTAAATCTGCTTCTCGGCTAAATCTGATCCCAAATTTTCAGCCCATTTATTAAAGGAAGTACATTTCTCTTCATTTCAAACTCAAATGTTCACGAAGGGTCCCGGTTTCATAAACGTGCTGATGTCGTGGGTTTGTTCTTCCAGTGGCACCGCACGCCCACCACCCAGGAGACGGACGGGTTCCAGGTGAAGCGGCCAGGAGACGTGAGCGTGCGCTGCACCCTGCTGCTGATGCTGGACTACCAGGTGAGGGCGGGGGCTCCAGACTCTTGTTTCAAACCCTCACACACACCCCCCGGCGATAGCAGCGTTGCAGCTGTAACGGGACTGTGTTCTCTCCGCAGCCCCCCCAGTTTAAGCTGGACCTCCGCCTGGCTCGGCTGCTCGGCATTCACACTCAGACTCGCTCCTGCATCATCCAGGCGCTCTGGCAGTACGTGAAGACCAACAAGCTGCAGGACTCCCATGACAAGGAGTACATCAACTGTGACAAGTACTTCCAACAGGTACAGGACTCTGTGGGTCACAGCTTGATTTGATTTATTTATTTAACAGGAAAAGATTATTAAAAAGCCTGACTCAGCATAATTGCTGTTTTACAGCAGGTTTCTGTTCTGCAGCACATAAAACACTCAGAAWTACAGCATCACAATCACATCATTATACATCATAGACACAAAGACAAACAAGCATAAAGCAGGGGTCTGCAAKCTTTACAATCATACATTTCTTTCTCTTGGCTCACTTATAAAATGTATCTGGAGCAGCAAAACTGTGATTATCAACTGGTGGCTCCTGGGCCACTTTGAGTTTGCTGACGGTTGATTTACGGCCAGAGGGGTGACATTATGCAACTAAAAATACGAAGGTAATTTGAACATGTAATATTATTTGTACACTTTAGGATTAAAAAAAATCATGCAAACAAGAACAGATATATAGTTTATACAAAACAACAACAAAAACTCAACTCGTGTTTGGTCAAAGTTTTAAAGAGCGGCTGCAGAGGGACTAAAGTAGTCTGCAGACCCCTGTTCTAAACAAGGATGAAACTGTGGAAAAGACAAACTGAAACAATATGCAGTATTTGTGTGAAAGCTGAGTATATACTCTGTTGTTTTTCTGTTTATATTTACTTCTGCACGCTTTCAGTTTCACACACTTTGTGCGATTTCAGTCGTTCGTTTGTAGAAYCGTTGGTTTCAGTCAGGAACTGTGCTGCAGCTTTTAGTATTTCTAACTTTTATATTTTTTGAATTACTTAGCTTTATTTACAAACATTTTCCCCACAGAGAAACACTGAGTTCTCCTCATTTCAATCAGAAACATTGTTCTATAAATCTACTTCAGTARACTTGATGTATTATGCGTTTTTAGGCACAGTTTTGCTCCATTTAGCGATATGGTTTTGCTAATTTAAACTTTTAGATAAGGTTTTGCTATTTTTAGCTGWCATATTTTTCTACTCAACGGGTTATTCTAAAATGAGCTTAAGTGAAAATTTTGTTTATTGACGTGACAAAAGGGAACTTGAATCTGTGACTCTGTAGTAAAGAAGCTGAGGGCTAAACTGACCCAAAGTCCTGCAGCTTACACTGCAACCACATCCTGATTCTCACAGATAAGAACAAATATAACAACTTTTTATGASGAGAAACTTAGTTTTTGTGAGTCATCTCAGGTTGCAACATTCTGAATCTTCAGTCCATACCATGAATTACACAAACTCTGTGTATTTTGCTGCGTTAAAACAAACTGCAGCAGAGCCTCAAACAAAAGGCTGAATATTTGTAACAACTCATATATCAGAGCTATTCAGTTAAATTGCTAAAGGGGCCAAAGTTACTGCAGGCCAACAGCTCAGGGGCCGAACATCCA